CGGTTTTGAGAATACCCATGAATTCAAGAAATCTAGAATTCTTCGATTAACAATAGAATGTCAAATAATTGACAATATTTTGAGGGAAAAATCGCTTCATCGATAAATATAACCAAGAACTTTATGGTGAAATTGGACAGTTTCAGGTGAAAATGGCACTAACCCAAGCAAACTTGTTCTCTCCAATCACCAGAAAGAAATATATTATCAGGAACGGACAGCCCTGCACACCAAGATGAAGAGCCTGAAAATACTCGACTCTTATCTTTTACACATCAGTGTACTTATTTTTTCCCAACCAGGAGCAATGTAACTAGAGCATACTCTTCCATTAAAACGTGCTACTGCTAAACCCTTTTACCCCTTTAGGGTAACCTAAGACACATTATTTGTGGCCAAAGTTCAAACTTCCCCTCATCTTTCACTCGACATCGTATATGGCATACAAGTTGAAGTTCTTTGAAGAGTAACAACGCAAATCTAGCTTTTAAAAAAAAATATCGAGCAGTATTACATTGTGTTGTACAATCTGTCTCCTTTCTTTCAAAATCCAGTCGAGTGTAATACAATTTATCTTGCCAAACGTGCCATAAATGTTTATCCAGATGAAGAAACAATACAGTTTTCTCAAATTTATAAACCGAAGACGAAAAAAAAGTCAGATGGATGCCCAGGGTGGATATGGGCATTCATAAGTCCAGTCTGGCCCAGCATATCTTACACAATGTAGCCATAATCCCTCTTCACGTCCATCATAGCTGCACAGAAGACAGACAGGTTATCAAGTTCTTGATAGTGCTAGGCATCAGTCATACAGCACACAATCCACATTAGGTCAGAGGTGTAAACTAGGCAGGGTAAGTTCAGGTTTTTGGTCTGGCTGTAGGTGTGCTTGGGCGTAAAGCCTAGTGGGGCGACAAGCATTATGCAAACCAGCTCATTTTGACACCCCTACTACATTAGGTGCAAGATAAATCTTTAAAGGCGGGATACAAGATTCAGAAACCGAAGGGAGAAACTCGTATATCTACCACAAATAACTAAATGTCTGTAAGAAAAGGATGGTGTATATAGAAAAGAAGAAGCATAAATCCACCAATGAAGAGTTCTAGATAAGAACCACTGTTTCATGTGATGCAGAATTACAAATGCTTCATAAAAAACAATTGGATGATCGTCAGGACCCAATAGACTCTTAATTTTCAAATGAATAACAAAATCAAGAGTGCTTCGAAATTGTTCTAAGCAGCTATTGTAAGATTCTAACATTTGTATTCTTAACCTAGTTTACAGCCTTAGTTAACACACAAACATTGTCACATTTTAGTCCCTAAAAACCTCGTAATTTCTAATATTTTATCATTCAGCAAGCTGACATTATCAATCTATTGCTTAACAACCTCTTTCAATAGAAACAAGATATATCGGTAATGAAAGTCCAAGTGCTTCAGTAATCTCATCGAGGATTGCCAATTACCTAAACCTTTCATCACATGCAACATAGCATGAACAAATTCTTCAATCCCCTGGAAAAGATGAAGCTGATAAATAATTGGAAATTCATGCCACTGAAGAAATGCTTCTTACCCTTTGGGAGCCAAGTTCGGACAATTAGTACACTTTGGATCTATGCTGAAATCAATACTGGAGTCATTTTGAGGGTCATCTATACAAGTTTCACGAAGATTGGGCTGTGGGGGAAGCTCTGACTTAGCTGCAGCTCTGTCTGCACTCAATCCTACGGTAGAGCGTTCGTTAACGCATTCAGAGAGGTAAAGCATGTCATTAGCTATAGGATGCCCCGTATATTGAAGATGGACACGTATCTGCACGAGAGAGTTGAACTTATACGGTATGTCATCTTTTCTAAAACAATATAGAAAATAACTGTTCTGTGCTTATTCTGCTAAAACCATTGAGCAATAATTCCAATGCATAAAAGCTCTATGTCCTATTGCTTAAAGTACAACCAAATCAATCTGATATCTACCACGTTAATGGAGATTTTCAAAACAAAAAGAATATAGAAAACTATGAACATGGGAACATAGAGGGTAACATTTGATATTATGAAAGCAAAAAGTTTACAAATTCCACAAAGCCGTCTTGAGCGAAATGACTTTCACCTGATGTGTCCTGCCGGTGATTGGCTCACACGAGACAATACTATGATTTCCATTCGTGCTAATCCTAGTGAATTTGGTACAAGCAGCCTTCCCTTTTAAAGGCATGTTACCATTGCGACTGCCTTCCACCTGCATGTGTGTCTCATCATAAGTTACTGCTAGGCATGATATGCAAAACCATAATGTAAAAGGAAAAAAAAGATGATGGGGCATTCATCAAGGACTAGATCAGGTGTTGCCCTGGATAGAAGATAAGCAACCCGTTAACTGCATTTTATGATCAACGTATAACCAGTTGATTGCAAAGATCAACTGTATATTTCATTGTGGATTCCGTAATGGGGAAGAGAAGTGGTGGGAACCTAATCTCGCAAGAACACTTTCCGGAAATTACAAAGTTTAAAGGGGAAACAGAGCGATTAGATGTCGCCATGCCAACCAATGCATACAAAATCACACCGCCATCGTGTACATTATAATGCTCAAAATGAAAAAAAATGAAAGTAAAACAACCAAAACAAGGATGCTTCATATAGCCCCCATTTGGCCGTGATAAGTACGTTTTTATGCACTTATATAACTCACAAACATGACCAAAATACGATTTAAGTGTACCTAAATTCGTTTAATTCTTGGATTGTAGGGTTTTCTGATGGACTTGATGGAATTCACAAGAAAAAGAAGCAAAAATGACTAAAACGAATCAAAATGATAGTTCAAGGACCAAAGTGCAAATACAAAAAAAGATGAGCCAAAGGAGCAATCGAAAAATTGATAGTGCCAAGTACCAATTGGAGGTCATATGAGATGATGGAACAAAAGAGTCGAGGAAAAGAAGTCAAAAAACAAGAAGATTGAGTTTGAGGACTAAAACGACACAAAACGAAGGTTTCAACGCATGCGACCGCGTGGTGTTATAACCATGCGGCCGCACAAGCCCCATCTGAGACTTAAAGCCAAGAAATAGATGCAACCATGCGATCGCATGGTGTAAAATTCTGACGCAATTCTGCAGTTTCCGTTTTGCGTTATAATTCTTTTGGAACTCGATTGAGACGCGATATAAAAATCTAGAGCCGTCATATTTCGGGGCAAAACGCATTGGGTGGCAAGAAACCACATCTTAGAGAGGATTTTAAGCGGAATTAACGAAGGATTACACAAAGATCATGAAGATTTATCAAGAATTCATAACCCGATGATACTTTTTCTTCAATTTATGATGTACTTCGATATTCTTTCCATGTTAGGCTAGATTTACATGTACTAGGAGGTCGATGTACCATGTGATGAGATCTTTAAATTTCTAGTTTTATAATTTGACATTAAAACACATTTTGATTCATTAAATGATTTATATACAATTTTTGTTTTCCGCAATTAAGGGCCCGTAATTGTGTGAGTTTGGGTAACTTGTTCTTGCATTCGAAAGAAGTAGAATAGGTTCGACAATATATAAATCATCGTAGGATCTGATAGGGGATAGAGATATACCGCTATGCCTAACGTGAATCTATAAGTGCTTACAAAATAGCATGCATTTTTACATATGCATTTGTCATAGAGATATAGGCCAGTGGTATGTAAAAATAAGTTCAATACATCTCTAGAGAGAGTATTTAATAGATTTAGGAGCATTAATTCGTCAACAACTCAATCGTGTTGTCACATTCTAAAATTAGGGTTCAAGGTGATCGTTGCATGGGAAATTGTGATCCTAGTACGCTTAATTTACATAAAATACTGCAAATTTGAGTTCTAAACAGTTGTTTTACATTCTAGGTTGTTAAAAATCGTGTCTTGCATATTAATCTCATTCCAATCGAAAAAGTTGCATAAATTAGGGTTGCATTCCAAATTGCGGTTTCCTCTCTAAAATTAGAATTTATTTAGGTAAACATTCACATTGAGTAATTTTGTTTCGGTTAAGGTTACGATAGGTGAAATTGAACTACTCAATCTCTGTGGGACGATATTCAGACTCTAAAAATCCACTTTATTACTTGTTAACAAATCGTGCACTTGCGGTGATTTTAATTGAAAGAAATATTTCGTGAACAAGTCTTTGGCGTCGTTACCAGGGATTGATTATTCATTTAATTTTATCTATATTGGCACTAATTCAAACATCCATATTCAAATTTTCTGTTATTTTGTTGTGTTTTATTTCATTTTATTTAATTTCATTTTTATTTGTCTGTTTAATATTTCATTTTACCATCTAAGCACTCATTTTGACTATTCTCGTAGATTTGCATGTTAAGGTGCGCTGAAAGAGAATTGGTCCCAGCTGATCTAGAAATCGAACGAACTCTATATCGCAGGCAATGAGAAAATAGAGAAGCACAACAACAAATGGCTAACTTGCAGAATAATCCCATTTTTTAGGCGGATGAAGGAAATATGCTCGTAGGAGATTTCATGACCCCTCAGATAATTCAAAGCCAGTCAAGCATCGTGTATCCACCATTTGGACAGTCGAACTTCCAACTGAAGACTAATGTGATACAATTATTTCAAAATGGCCATCAATTCTATGGAAGGACCAAGGAAAATCCACATTCGCATGTTTCTCGTTTTTTGGAGATGTGCCAACACTTCATATATCAAGGTGTCTCAGATGATGCAATCAGATTAAGGTTGGTCCCACATACACTGCGCAACAAGGTAATTGAATGGCTAGATTCGCAACAAATCGCAACAAATCGCCATATGGAATGATCTAGCCCAGAAATTTTGCACTAAGTTCTTCCCACCTGCAAAGATTGCAAAGCTCAAGCACGACATTTCTGTCTTCCGCCAAGGCAACTCGGAGAAGTTCGATGAAGCTTGGAACAGGTTCAAGAATATGCTGAGAAAGTGCCCACACCATGGGATTAACAAAGGGACTTCAGGTCCAATACTTCTATGCGGGATTGCTCCCAACCTTCAACGATAGAAGAACCAGTAGAGCATGATGAGCAGATAGAGGAATCCACCCTAGTTGAAAAATCAAGCAAAACAAGGGCAAAGTAACCGTTAATCCTCATGAGCCTCCCATACTATTTCCACAAAGGCTAAAGAAGCAGAAGTTGGAGCAATAATACAAGAAATTTCTCGAAGTCTTCAAGAAACTCCACATCAACATCCCACTCGCCGATGCACTGTTCCAGATGCCTAGCTATGCAAAGTTCCTGAAGGACATACTATCAAATAAACGCAAGCTAGGGGATCATGAGATGGTAATGCTAACAGAGGAATGCAGCGCCAGAATTCAGAAAAAGCTCCCACCAAAATTGAAAGATCCAGGGAGTTTTATTGTTCCTTGTACGATTGGTGAAGTTTATTTTGATAAAGCCTAGTGTGATCTTTGTGCAAATATAAATTTAATGCCTTCGTCCGTTTTCAAGAAACTTGGCTTGGGGCGGGGGGGGGCTAAGGCGACTACAGTGACACTGCAGCTGGTAGATCGGTCATTGACACATCCCAGGGGTATAATAGAGGCCGTGCTTATCAAGGTTGAAAAGTTCGTATTCCTTGCAGATTTTCTAATTTTGGACATGGAAGAGGACAAAGACATTCCATTGATACTGGGGAGACCATTCTTGGCAACAGGAAGAGCTTTAATCGACATTTAGAATGGGCAGTTGATTTTGAGACTGGGAGAAGAGCAGATCTCGTTTAATGTCTTCAAGACAATGAAACTACCTACCGAGACACATAGCTATTTCCAGATCGATGTGCTTGACAAGGTGGTCCAAGACTCGTTCTTGCTACATAACCCTTCAGATACGTATGAAGCTTGCATTGCACATTCGTAGTCAACGCAGTCTGATTCAATGGAGATGGAAACATGTGCAAGATTTTTGGACACCAACCTACCTTACACACAGAAGGCATTTTGAGGAGCTTGGAACAGGACCCATAAAACCTCTACCATCCATTCAGCAGTCACTGAAATTAGAACTCAAGCAACTATCGCCTCATCTCAAATATGCATACTTGGGGGAGTCGTGTACACTTCCAGTGATCATCTCGAACACAGTCAGCGAAGTGGAAGAGAAGAAACTGCTTAGGGTACTCAAGAAAAATAAGATAGCAATTGGATGGACCATAGCAGATATCAAAGGGATCAGCCCTTCACTATGCATGAATAAGATTCTCATAGAAGAGAATTTCCGGACAACCATAGAAAGTCAGCGAAGGTTGAACCTAAATATAAAGGAAGTGGTTAGAGCAGAGGTACTCAAACTTCTAGATGCTGGAATCATCCATCCCATATTGGACAGTGCATGGACTAACCCAGTTCAGGTGGTGCCAAAGAAAGGAAGAATAACGGTAGTGCTTAATGAGAAGAATGAGCTGATACCGACCAGAACAGTCACAGGATGGAGGGTTTGCATCGATTACCGCAAACTCAATGCAACAACAAGAAAAGATTACTTTCCTCTCCCGTTTATAGACCAAATGCTGGAGAGATTGGTAGGCCACTCACATTAATACTTTCTCGACGGGTATTTAGGTTACAATCAGATACCAGCGGCACCAGACAATCAAGAGAAAACAACCTTCACTTGCCCTTACGATACTTTCGCATACCACAGAATGCCTTTTGACCTTTGCGACGCCCCTGCCACATTTCAACGTTGTATGATAACGATTTTCTTAGACATGGTAGAAAAATTTATAGAAATATTTATGGACGACATCTCGGTCTTCGAGTCTTCGTTTGACAAGTGTTTGGAACACTTGAATCTGGAATACAAAGATGCAAGGAAACAAATTTCGTATTAAACGGGGAAAAATGTTACTTCATGGTGCAAGAAGAGATCGTACTTGGACATCGGTTCTCAGCAAAAGGGATTGAGGTGAACAAAGCAAAGATTCAGGTTATTGAAAAATTATCGCAACCAACATCAGTTAAAAGGGTTCGCAACTTCTTGGGACATGCCGGATTCTACAGGAGATTCATAAACGATTTTTCAAAAATCACCCTGTTAATGAAAGACGTGCCCTTTGAATTTAATGAGAAATGTCTGACTGCTTTCAACACTTTGAAGGAGAAACTCACGTCAGCGCTGATAATTGTAGCACCTGATTGGAAGTTACCTTTTGAGTTAATGTGTGATGTCAGTGATCATGCCATAGGTGCAGTATTGGGACAACGAAAGAACAAGATCTTCCATG